AGATCTGATTTGACGGTACACGCACACAAAATAATAAAAAAATTAAAAAATTAAAAAAAAAAATTACACAGGAGGAGATTGCCTCTCTTTTACCCATGGAACACCCGGTGAATTTGAACTGCCTGCATTTGGGTTGTCAGGGCAACTCTTTACTAGGCCACCAGAGCTTAAAATATTCAGGACTGATTTTGTCTGTTTTCTGATTTAGAAGAGATTTCCCACTATCCATCTTTTTTACCCCCAGAGTATATTCTATAGAATGCTAGTTTTCATAAAAACTCCCAGTAAAGATAGTTTGTTAGTGATTTGGAGAATAATCTCTTATTGTTAAATCATTATAAAATCCAACCTGTTGCTATCAAGGTGATTCCAAGTCACAGAGACCCTGTAAGACAGAGTAGAGCTGCCCCCTGGTTTTCGAGGCTGTAAATCTTCATGTAAAGATATTACTGCCTCTTTCTTCTGTGGAACAATTGGTGAGTTTGAACCGTTGACTAATTGGTTAATAGTCACACACTTAAACATTGTATACCAGCAGGGCTTCTGAAGTCGCTGTGTTGTTGTTTTTGTGTGCCATCCAGTTGGAACCCACTCATAACGGACCCTCCAGCAAGCGGATTTTCAGAGGCAGTAATTCGCACGGGAAGAAATTGCCCAGCCTTTTCCTGTGGACCATCGGCTGGATTTGAACCACGTGCCTTTGGGACAGCAGCACAATTTCTCACCACTCTTCCACAAGAGCTCCATATACACATTAACAAATGAACAGTTGAGCAGTAAAAGCAGCTCTTTACTCAGAATTTTCATTCCTAGGCCTTCCACCTCCCATAATGGAAAGCCTATGCTTTTATTATTTTATATTATTTTTAAAATGATTGTCTTTAGCTAACTTTTCTTTGTACTAATCAAGTAGCTGGCATCTAAAGCTTGGAACAATTTGGCATCTATGATAACTTTTGAAGAACGTTCTTATTTGAATATTTTAATCACTTAGAGTTTGTTATAGATCAGCTACTTATTTCTTAAATATTAAAGGTTTAGATGGGATAGCTCATAATGTGGTGTTCTACTAACTCAAAAACTGTATGTCTCTGAGGTTTTGAATCCACCGGAAGCCTTGAGGGAGAAAGATGGGCAATCTCCTTTCGTGATTTACAACTTTGGAAGCCAGTGGAGGGCCACTTGGAGCCAGAACCAGCTCCATGGCAGCAAGATTGAGTTGAGTCAAGTGCTGTCCCCTGGACAAGGAGCTGAAAATGCATTGACGAGTGAAGCGTTTGTGATAACCTTAGAACAGCTTAGAGCTCCCAGCAATCTAGTCCTTTATTCAAGGATCCTACTTTAAAATGAAAGGTCTCACCTGAAAAATAACAGTTACTTCTTGATCAACATCTTACTGCATGTGTCAAGCTTAAAGAAGCATGAAAAGAATAGTTAGTAGCTGTTCTGGCAAATAGAACTTTAACTATCAATAGTACTTACTACTATAGAACTTTATAAAAATTTTACCTGGGTTTATATTTCATTTTGTTTTTTTCTTGTCCTCTAGTGAAAGTGTAATTTTATAAAGTTACTCTTTCTTAAAAATCTAATGATATTGTCAATGTAATTGAGTTTTCTGAGTGTTTGATTATCTTTTTAAAAGAGAAGTCATTTATTTGTACATTATAATTTTGTACTAAACTGTTCTCTTTTTGGATGACAAAAAAGAAACTAGAGAAAATGACGATGAACCCACTCAGGTTTGTTACCTTCCTCATTTAGTGTAACAATAGCATTAATGATCTCAAGAGCAGCGTGTATAATTAGCGCCTGCTACAGAATTGGCAAGTAATTATGATGTCGCTCCTGTTTTTCTGGCATGTTCTAGCAAGTTATGATAACCTGGCTTGACGTCAAATCTTAAAAGACTTTGAGCTAATGTCACTATTTTGAAGAGTTTTAGAAATTAAAGTTAGACTCTTATTTTGTAAAGAAACATACAATTCAATTATTCGGGGCTGTGCTTGGAAACTTGCAGATTTAACACCTTTAAAAAAAATCAATCAGGGGGAGCTCTGGTGGCCTAGTGGCAAGAAGCTGCAACTACAATCCCAGAGGTGCACGGTTTGAATCCACCAGATGCTCTGCCGGGGAAGGAGGGGCAATCTCCTCCTGTACCAGTCAGATCTGATTTGACGGTACACGCACACAAAACTTAATAAAATAAAATAAAAAATTAAAAAAAAAATCAATCAAATCTGTATTCTTCTCTTTCCAGGTAGAGCAATGATCGATATACTGCTGTTGCCCTCTGACAGGGACCCGCCGAAGCTGAAGGACTGCTTACCTGCCGTAGGAGCTTTGAAGCATTTGAAGGAATGGCATTCAGCAAAAATGACCATAGCAGGAAATCAGTGTGAAATGCAAGTTTCCTTGTTCCTTTTTGATGATAGCCTGTGTTGTCTCTTGTGCATTGTCTGTGCCACCACGTTGTAGAGATACTGTCAGCACGTGGAGATTATTTTAACGTGGCAAGATAAAGTGGGCTATCATACGGTGATTCAAGAGACTTCTCTCTTTTATCAAGATTTTTCATCTCTCAGATGTCCTACTTCAGAGGTGTTTAGATTTTTACTAAATGTTGTAGTTGCTGTTTTGTGATAGCTGTGAAGACATCCAACTCTCCAAATACACAGCTATTTAAAATAGGCTTGGAGGATCCAGGGGGAGTGCAGCAAAATTTGTGGTGCTAGGCTTGTGGCTTCTTTTGTTTTTATGTGTCAGTGTTGAAAAAAATATGCACTTTGTAGGCCCACTGGGTAGGTAGCTACATGGCCCACCAAAGGTGGACAGTTTGAAACCACTGCTCCTCTGGAGAAAGATAGCCAGTCTCCTTTTGTGTGGTTTACAACCACCGAAACCCCACTGTCAGCTATGAGTCTGTTCTGACTTAACATTTGTGAGGTGTTTATTTCTTTATTCTAATTTATTGTGGTTTGAAACACTTTAGTAAGTATCAGTGGTCTGTTCTTAAGTATTCAAATAAGATTAGGTCTTTTTGATACATGCTTATTGAGCACTGACTTACTCCAAGCAGAGCAGCAAAGGCTCTTACAGTGAGAGAGACAGGGTGTGGGTGTGGGCCTCTAGTAGAGGAGACGGAGGGCGACCAGCAGTCATCAAGTTCTGTGAGAACAGCTGCTGTCTGGAGAGCTGTGGACAAAGCTGAATGGGGACGTTTTGGAAGAGCAGCTGAGAAGCTGAAGTTGAGTGTGTGTGTAAGTGTGTGTAATAATTACATACATGAGGACGTGGGATGAAATGAACATGTGACAGCAGCTCGCTCAGAGACTGACCTTTAGTGAGTGTTTTATCACAATATTAAAATTATTGCATCATAATCCTAGAAAATACCCTAGTGATGTAAGCGTTCCAATTTTCCTCTTAGGTTTGTGGTTAATTATAGCTGTCCAGTTTAAATAAAATATCAAACCCTGTACTTCATTGTCATAATGTCTCTTGTTTTGTAGAAATTGCCAGAAAATTGCAGAATACCTTTCTGCGAATATTGTGCCTTTAGAGGATCTCAGAAATGTAATTGACGCGAAGGAGTTATGGAGAGGCAAGATTCAGATATGGGAACAAAAGGTGAATGGGTACCTTTGTCCTCAGAGGTTACAGAGCAGGCCTTTCAGTCATTGACAAAACTAATTAGGTAGCTGGACTTTGCGTGGCTGCTTCCTTTGGTTACGTGCACCTTGGCTCATCGCAGTCTCTCTGCAAGTGATTTTAACATACACAAAACCAAGGAACCAAGTGAAGTGATGGAGTGTTTGATTAGTTCAAGAAATTTTTTTTATGTGCATTTTTGAAGCTGGGTGTATATAGACCTATACTGGTGGTTCTTTTTAATTAGTTCTTTTACGATTATGATATGAAAAGTCCATACCACTACAGAATGCACTACAAATTTGAAAGCACCTTTTTTTTCTATTTTGGTGGAGAATAGCTTTTAGCCATAGGCATTGTTGTGATTAAGGACATAAATTCTATAGCAATTTTGCCTGTGTTCACATTCACATCACAGCTCATTTCTAGCTATTTTTGTGCACCTTTGGTAATAAGTAAGCTTAATCTGTATGATAAAGATAATAATAGTGCTTATAGATTTTTACGAAGAGTATATTATCTGAAGCATAATTACTCATAAATGCTAACCTTTATGCTACTGCTATGTTACTTGTACCCCTACAGTGTCAGCTAGAAAGTAATCTGTTTATCAATATCATTTATTTAAGGCAAATTAGCCAAAAAACCAAACAGGTATGTCTTGGATTAAAAGTGTAGCCAGAGTGCTCCTTGGAGGCAAAGATGGCAAAGCTTCCCTTTTTCATATTGGACATGTGGCTGGGCAAGGCTGTTCTTTGGAAAGGGCCATCATGCTTGGGAAGAAGGAGGGTCAGCGAAGGAAAGACCCCTAATGAGATCGATTGATATGGTAACTTCAGCAGTGGGCTTTAATGTGTGTGAGAGAATGAAGATGGTAGAGAAGAAGACAGGGTTCAGGTTACTGTTAACAGGGTCACTATGAGTTGTACTTGACTCACCGACACTTAACAAGGATCTACTAGGGACGTCTGGTGACCTAGTGTAAGAAGCTGTTCTGCAATCCCAAAGGCACCAGCTGCTTCGTAGAAGGATGGGCAATGTCTTCCTGTGAGATTTATGGCCTCTAAAAACCTGTTGAAGGGTCATCTATGGATCAGTTCTGACTCCGTAACAAAACAACAAGAAAGATCTCATGTGAATAATAGAGTCTCTTTGCAGAATCTACAGACCTTTGGGAAGGTATGCGACTGAGCAAGTGTGTGCTGAAAACGAGGTTATCTAGTGCTGGGATTGCATAGAATAGGCTTAGCCTATTTTGGTAGGCTACTGAAATGTTAAAGAGGGCTTGTCATTAAAATCAAAGTCTTGGAAGATTTAGGCAGCATCTGTACATAAATACGAGAACCACTTTTGAGATGAGAAATTAAAAAAACAAAAGAAATTCAAATAGGGCTTTTTACTGTCAACCTTTACATTATAATAAGATATAGTCATCTTTCTAGTTTTACTCACGATACTCATAATTGTGTTCATTTGGTTTCTTTTCAGTTCCGTTCTGAAATTAATTTTCCTGAGGTTTCATTAAAGGGAGTGACACCTACGAATTTTAGCACGTCTCATTTGAATGCTTATTTTCTTGCTAAAAAGATGATACCACCAAAGGATAAGAATATTTTACCAAAGGTAATTAATTGTATATGTAATCATTTTTGCAAGCGTGTATTTGTGTATATAAGATGAGACAGAATCTTGAATTAATGTTAAGAAATATATGTGCTATCTGTTTTGCTGAAGAGAGCAGAAAAAGCTAAGACCTCTCTTTCAAGTCTTAATGTTCTTTTTCTCTCTTAATACTTTTCCTAGTTACTGGGAACTTTCCATGTCTGGTTCTTTACTCTAAAAGGTAGACTGGAAATAAAAAAAAAAACTCTTACTTGTTGCACAGAGTCAAATTTTAGATTTCTATAATATATAAAAACCATGTTTTCTTTGTGTGTATGTGTGATTCCTGTTTAAGGTCCTAAGAATTCCAATAATCAATTTATGAATTTAATTTTATTTATGCCATTACATAATGTTCTTTTTTTTCTGTAGGTTTTCCATTATTACGGCCCTGCATTAGAATTTGTGCAGATGGTCAAGTTATCAGACGTGCCCTCCTGTTACATGTCGGACATTGAATTCGAGTTGTATCCTTTCATTGACTGTTCATTTTAGAATGAATTCTCTGCGTCCAGTAGGATGTTCTGGTATAACCTGGTAAATACACATGTTTAGGTGTACATTAATTTTTTTGTTTAAGTGCAGTCATCACTTTAATGTTCATGTGTGAGTGGGTTGTCAGATCTTTATTGTTGGAGATGCTCTGGAAAAAGGTCATGCTTTTTTCCACATCTTGAATCCTGTACCTGGCACGTCTTTCTCTCTGCAGAAGCATGTTTGCGTTCATTTGCTATTTACTGAGTACCTGCTAAGGGTAGGAATATAGAAATGTTTGTGACTCAGTTACTAATGCAGTTATAATTTTCTTGGCCTAACTACAGGCTCAATCTATCCTCTCACTCTCTTGTTGTTGTTGTTGTTAGGTGCTAACAATGTAATGGCCCTAACACACCAGATCTGAACCCTCTCCTTCCACCAGCATTATTTAAAACTCTGTCCTTTCTACCCTTTACTCAGAGCTCCCCCCACACATTATTGGACGTGTGTTCTGTTGCTTTTTTACTATTACTCTATTTACTACTTACTTATAAACGGTCTACTTCTGAAATCCAGAAATGCATTTCTAGGCCTTCTGTGTTTTTCTTGATTCAGTGTTACCTTAGAGAAATCGAAAACTAAAATGTCATAACACATAGTATACTCTCAGTAATTATTGTGGAAGGAATGACATTGAATTATGTTTGCCCAAAGCAATGTGATTATTTATTGTTGAAAATTCATTTCTGTGGAATGAATATCATTTACAAAACCATAAGAGTCCTTTACCCAGATAAGGACTGGTTTGTAGTCTAGTATTGCCAATAGCGGGCTTTTGTTTTTGTTTTATATTTGAGGAGCGGGTTTCCAAGTGATGAGAGATTGGAGGGCTAGTTAAGAATCAGATCAGTCAGGTCCCGAAATGGTCCTCCCACGCCATGCTTGGGAGTTGACCTCTACCCGAAAGATGATGAGGAATCCTACCAGGATCAGAAATTTTAGATTAGTAATATGTTGGGGAAAATCTATAGAGCTTGAATGAAAGAAGTAGTTTTAGAAATGTGGAGTCAGTGTAAGTTACAACGTGTGTTAAAGATGTAAATCCAGAAAACACTGAGTTGTATGTGGGGGGAATGAGGCTAGAGTAATAAAGGCAGGTCCCTTTGTAGGGAACCCATGCAGCTGAATTTGCAGAAGAGCACGCTTCATGAAGCGGAGAGAGTTCAGGCAGGCATGGATGAAGTAGTAAGGTGCAGTGGAGAATTGTTATTTTTTATAATGCCATGAGTATTCATACTTAATAAATGTAGGGACCATGGAACTAATTTATCACCTGGCAATATAAGCCTAGGGTCACTTTCAGACATAAATAACTACCAAGCCTCCTTCTCTCTCACTTCATCTATTAGGCATGTAAGGCACAAGGTAGATAATATTTGGCATATTTTTGTCATATTAAATCCTTGCTTTTGACAAGTAATTTTCCAACTGTCTTCCAAGGAAAACCTAAGGCCCAGAGAAAGCACTCTGGGGTTGGGGGACTGGGAGACACGTTGGATGGCTCAGGTGCTTCTGTACTAGCACTGCCAGTCATTGCTGATTAAGTGGAGGGTTTAGTAATCTGGGGAAAGTCACTTACTTATTCCAGAAGAGTTCACAGAATCTTCCCGCCACTGATGGGATTAGATGTATAAACTCCAACTGGATTTTTTTTTTTAAATTATCATTTATTTCACCATCATTCACTTCTAAAAAAGTTTTTAATTGGTTTGCATACGTAATTCATTTACATTGTATTTCATTCATATACATTGTATTCTAACAATCTTTCATTTACTTTGTTTCATGCATTCATATACAGTGTTTTATGTAATTAGTTAGTATTGATCTTTGCCTATCATTACCCATGTCTTGAGTCCCCACTGAATCTTTCCCATTCCTTCACCCCCTCCTCCACCCACTAAACTCTGCTTTCCTGATAATTTCCCCCTTCCTTTATTTCAGCCCCCTTCCACCTTCCTCTGTTGGACACTTACACACATCTCACTAATACAGTCATTTCTGTGTGTTGTGTTTTATGTAATTAATCACCACTGACCTGTGACTCTTCTCTTCCCAGCTCATCAAGTTCCCGTCGCACCTCTCCTTTTTCTTCATCCGCATCCCCCCTCATCTCTCCTGTCCTGGTGATTTCTTCTCCCACACCCCAGTGCTGACCATGTATTGGGAATAGTCAACACATTTTAAACTCCTTTTGAGAAAAATCTATCAATATTTTGAAGTTCAGCTTTTCTTCTAGAACATACACCTAAGAACAGACTATTTTGTGTAAAAACTTTGTTGGAAATGGGGGACTTGATGCAGTTCTTAAATTTTCATCTAGAGATGACAGCTTAAGAAGGCTCTTATTCTTATAGTTTGTAGTAATACTATTTACAGTACCACCTTTTCTTCTGTATGTTTTAAACACAACCAGTCATCGAGAACATAATTATCCTTAAGGAAAAGTTTAATTGTGAATTTTCTGTTATAATTTTTAATAAATAATTTCTTCAACTTAGACATTACATTTGACATCAATGAAAAAAGAAGAAAAGCTCATTTTCTGGCATAGAATCATTGCCCCGTTACCGTTGCACTGTTCCTTTAACTCCGTAGTACAGAGGAATGACCACACACAGCACCAAACGGAATTCCATGTTGCTGTTGGAACAGATTTCTTTTCTCTGTGGCAAGGTAGAAGAAGTTCTTTTGGTTGGATTTCATTTTGTGATTCTTTCTTTTCTTTTTAAGTGTGTGAGAAAAGAAAACGTGGTTTGTTAATCTGCTTTTGTATGGTGTATTTTTTTTAATATGACCTAAGCTTGGTCCCTGATTCATATTAAGGTATTTTGAGCTTTCCATAATGATGTTAATGATGCTGAAGTGATGTTTTAAGACGAGGCTTCCACAAGTAATTCTATAACTGGGAATTATTTCAGATTCAGATTACACATTAGATGTATTGATAATGCATCTGCTCAACACGCGAATCCATTTCTATGAGAAGACATTTTTTATTCTTTTGTCACCTGTTTCTATTCCATGGACTCATCAGAAGTCAAGATAATTTGTTAACGGAGAAAAGTAAAAGCTTTCTTTTCTTTTCGGTTGCTTATGATGATTATATTTCTGTGGAAATAATTTTTAAAGCATGAAACATTTACTGGCAATATTTAAATAATATCTGCTTATTATTTTAACAACAGACTTATTAAGTAACCCTGTAGGAAGAAAATAATTATTATAATTAGAAAAGTTTTTCCATAACTATATAATCAAATCAAATATTGATTACAATTTTCTTAAAAATTGTTTTCGTAAAGGAAATTTTGGATATATTTTTATCTAGCATTTTCAGTAGGGTTTTTTTTTTTAATTTTTTGTGCATGTACCATCAAATCAGATCTAACCGGTACAGGAGATTGTCCCTCTTTCTCCAGCAGAGCATCTGGTGGATTTGAACCGTGCACCTCTGGGATTGCAGTGCAGCTTTCTTGCCACTAGGCCACCAGAGCTCCATTTTCAGTAGTTTTAAGTTTATTATATTAGATGGCCGTGTCTACTGTTTCTTGAACCATGACTGTAAAATAAGAGCAGACTTAATCACTAAGGGATGAATAAATGGGATGTGACTAAGCCCAGAACATACGCAAGAGCCTCTTGGAGTAAAGTTCATTTGATTACATTGGGAAGAGACAAAGGAGGGTTTTTAGAAGATCATGATGCCTACAGATCTTGTGGCCAGGAGATATTTTTTTAAAACAGGAGGGTTTACAAAACGACAAACACAGTTATTATTGTTCTTTTTGAATTTTTTAAAGATTTCTATTGTTCTTGTTAGGTGCCTTTGAGTGGAGTGGGAGCCACGGTGATACTGGAAACAGCAGATAGAAGTCTTGCCTTCCCCTGGGTCACAGTCTCTATAGTTAGTGCTGTTTAGGGAGAACCTACTGAAAAACTAAATAGAAAGTCAAGTTTGAAATGCTATTTGACCTTGACATTCTGGTGATAGAAAGCCTGAAAGGATCACTCTCTCTCTCTCTCTCTCTCTCTCTCTCTCACACACACACACACACACCCGCCCCCCGCAGCTCTCAGAGAGAGCTGATGATTAGTGTACAGGTGAGGACAGATGTTCATAATCCAGGTTAGTTCCGAAAGCAGTAGAAATAGATTTCCTAGGGAATTTGTATTTGTAGGACTTGCAGCATGTTTATGTTCATATTTGTGCCAATGGTTAGCTTGAAAATACGCTGCTTTGAAAGGGCGGCTACCTCTTCAGCTGGAAAATCACAGCATGTTTATATAAAGCCGTAAGCTCTGCGTAAATGGAGCGCTGCCTCCCCACAAAGCAAAGAAAATAGGATAGCTCTGATGTGGCTAACTCAAGTCTTGGCATGAATTTTTGGCTAGGTGGTCTCACTTGTGTAGAAAAAAACTAGGGGCTTAGTGCTTATAAAATCAGATACACACCTCTTATACGTAATGATTATTTTTTGTTTCCATTTTTTGGTTTTTTTTCATCTAGTGGTTGATTGAGGGAACTTGGTGGGAGGGGCTAGTATGTAGCGCTGGTAGCTTAGCGGTGAGGAGTTGCACGGCCAACTCAAAGGTGTGCAGTTTTAATCTACCAGCTGCTCCATGAGATAAAGATGGACCGTCTCCCCTGTGCGAGTTACTGCCTACGCAGACCTGCCGCAGGACCAGCTGTGGGTCTTTCCGACTTGAAGCTACACACCAGCAGGACATAGGGATTTGCTGTAGTACTAGCCCAACAGTCACACCCATGAATTTACCAGCTTTGAATATACCAGCAGCTATGAGTGAGCAGTTTGGGAGACAGTGAGGATGGGACAGGACAGGGCAGGCTTCAGGGTGGCTGTTCATCGGCTCGCCATGAGTCACACTAAACTTGTTGGCACCTAACAACAACAACGTGTGAGGGAAAAATCATCCGTTTTCTCCATGTGGATTGTTGCTTTACAGACTGCTTGAAGGTCAGGTCTGAGTTGGTTCCAACTTGACAAACAGTGGGTTAAGTTGAAAACTTGATTGAGGAGTCCTGAAGGTGAATTGACTTAAGTATTGGACTACCTAACTAACAAAAGGTCACAGTTCAAATCCACTAGCTACTCTACTGGGAAAGATTAGTCTTCCTCAGTCAAGATTTACAGCTGGAATCTCTTTGGAGAAGTTCTACTCTACCCTGAAGGGCTGCTGGGATTGAAAGGGACTCCATAACAATGGTTTTGGATTTTAGAATGCTTGTTTGTATGAAATACATTTGACATAAAAACTTATAGCTACCATAATAGAGAAAATTGAAGCATTTGTAATTTTACTTTGCTTATTTTTTTCTTGAAAAGTTACTGTTACTGTATCTGTTCATTAAGCATACATAAAAAGTAGCAACTAAACTAGCACATTAAAATATAAGTTAACTGGATTTCACATATCTCATGTGAAATGATTTGTTGGATAATACAGTTAAAATACTCGCTTTACATTAGATTTAAAAACTTTGACAAATTCCCTGCCTAAACTTCTCCAAAGTTTTAGGAGAATGGGTGCTAGTTATTTATTGGGATATGCAGATAGATGTAATTTCCTCCTCTAAAATAACAGACAAAATACAGCTTGTAGAATTGCAATTTAGCTTTATTCGCTGCTTAATTAAATTTGGAATTTCCCTGAATATAATTTCATTTTCTTGAGCAAATATTTAATAAACATCTGTGTGCCAAGCCCTGGGACTCCTAAGATGAATGTTGAGTTTTCTCATAATTCAGTCAGAAGCCGCTCCAAGTTTTGCAGCACATAACTCATGGTCCTCTCTGCAGCTTAGACCTATTAGCATTAAATCTCTGATTTTTAACACATTTCTCTTTATTCCTATTTTGAAGTCAGACTAGTCATTCATTCATCTAGTTAAAAAATGTTGGCATGATTGCTGACCATATCGCAACCTTTGGATGAAAGGTCTTTCAAGCTCTCTAGTTTGCAAATAAAGCATACTCACAATCTGAAGTGAATGTAAATAATTGTGACTGACCCAGGTTTCCAGTGAGGTATGCCTCAAGTGGTATGAAGAAGCTCATAGCTTGGAATTTTTTTTGCTTTTGAGGGGTGGGTTTTAGCACTTTTGGGGTTTTCTTTTTCCTTTTTAGTGTCATGATTGGAAGAGAACATTGCCAAAGGCACATTGAATTGGTGAGGCATGAGTGGAAGAGCACGTGGCGCCTTTCAAGAGTGCACCTGGTATGCATTCACTGACCGCGTGCTCTGTTTGATCCAGGTCGGCGCCCTCTTTGTATTACCCTGTACTGTTAGCAACATACTTATTCCACCTCCCAACCAGCTCAGTTCAAGGAAGTGGAAGGAGCAGATTGCTAAAAAACCCAAGACAATCCATGGTAAGTAGCAAATCTTGACGTTATTTTAGTGGTACAACTTAAATAATGAGTTTATCGACTTTGAAGTGGAGATACCAAAGATTTTGTTAACACAGATACTTTACTCAAGTGTATTAGCAATGATGAGGATGGCGCAGGATAGACAGGGTTCAAGGCCGTTATCCTTAGGGTCACTCTGAGTTGTATTTGACTCTGTGGCACCTAACAACAACTACAACAACAACAAAGAAGTGATGTGGTTAATATAGATGTTTGTGCTTTACTAGTATATAAAGAAATGTAGCTTTAATTACTCTTGACTCTTCATATGGAATAAATGTATATTTTATAAAATAGAGTGGCCTAGTGGTGAGAATGAGCACCACCATACAGAAGGCACACGGTTCAAATATACCAGCTGCTCCACAGTAGAAGGATGGGCCATCTCCTCCCTTGCACTTAACACGTTGCCGCAAATGATGGCTATAGAGGGGAAAAATGTGTTTCACAGCACGGCCGTCAATTTAAAAGTGTGTGGCAACGTGTTAACTGCCTCTGAAAATCCTCCAGAGGGTCAGCTATGGATCGGTTCCAATTCTGCAATATACAACACAACAACAAAACAATCAGAAGTAGATTTGCTGAGTGGAAAGAGTCAGTTTTGCTTATACGATGTGAAGTCATGGTAGAAAGTGCAAAAATATTATAAATATGAATTCTATGCTATATAAAAAAGAAAT